ATAATGATTTTCATTGCTTTGTACTTTAGTCATGCAAAAATACTCTAGCCCCCTAGACTTTTACTGTTTTAGCCTCCTAGACTTCGTGGTTCCTGAGACACTAATTTACCCATAAAAAAAATTTCACGGGGCAGTAGGTGATAACCGAGAGCACGGGAACACTGAACTTGAATGGGCAGGGTTGAGCGTGGGCAGAAGGTTATTACCCTAAAATCTCAGCTTCCTTGACCCTGTGGTTCCCGAGATAATATTTTTTACCCGTAAAAACTTTCACTAGCCCGTAGGTGATATCCGAGAGCACGGGAACGCTGAATTTGAATGGGCAAAGTTGAGCGTGGGCAGAAGGTTATTACCTTAAAATTTCAGCCTCCTAGACTCCGTGTTCCCGAGATATTAATTTACCCGAAAAAAACTTTCACGGGACCGTACGCGTTACCCACGGGTGCGGGAAGGCTGAATTTAAATTTGCCGCGTTATCCGCTGGCGGGGAACACTATACCAAAATTTCAGCCGCCTAGCTTTTGTGGTTCCCGAGTTGAAAGTGTGGGACAAAATGTGGGACACACGCAAACACACACACACACAGGCAACCCCGTGACAGTATGTGTTTTGTACTGCTGTTACACAGCACAAAACGCATAAAAATTGGTAAAATTTTAGTGGGAACGATTACGGCAAGCAGACAAGATAGAAAGCTGAAATTTTGTAGGGGTATTCTGTATGCATGTGATAATGAAAGTTTTCAAAGTCAGTTATCGTGCATGCTTATCTATACCACACAGTCGCGCTAAAATTCATATTTAGCTCCGTGATTCAACTCGAGGATTTGCCGGGAAACGAAAACTAATTTTGTCAGAATAATTATCGTTCGTCTCGGAATTGTATGTCGAAAAGGAATTTCGAATTGCGCTTACGCCATTCCTTAGGGCGCGTCGAAGATATAGCGAAATGGCGGTTCTGCGTGTTGAGCAAGATGCGAAGCTGAATTTTAAAAGAATATTCTATATTCACATGTGGTCTAAATTCAGCTTGGAGGTTAAATTCCCTGCACACGGAAACTACAAATACTCATTTCTATTATTAACCTCAAAAAAGAGTTCATTTCGCTTGGATTCCATCATCCTTGTCTCTCTATACCTTGCTCATTGTCCAGTTTCGATTTTCACTGAATGACTGGCGACAGCGAAGTTTTCACATCCCTTCATGTTAATTTACGGCAATCATGTGTGGGGGTGAGTTAAGGTTTCATCGACTTCATAGTGCAACAGCACCGTTCAAGCTGACCGCTTTTACCGCACGTAAGAAAAAAACAAAACATAACCACATGAACCCGTTGTAAAGTAGCAAACATTCACAGTTTGAAC